ATCCCAGAGGTTTCCCCGCTTTGCTTTATCCCTCCTCCTTAATCTATCACCAATGAATTTCATGTAACTCACCTATGTCCCTCCTTTGATTGGAATGTATAAATACAATTGTAACCCCGCCATTCTCGGGAGCACTATCTCAATTCGTTGAGGTTCTGCTTCCCGGCATATGTCGACAGTTTGGCTCAAATAAACTTACAAAAATTCAAAAAAATAAAAATAAAAATAAATAAATAAAGGGCCAGAAGGTTGAGAACCACTGCCTTAGATTGTCAAATAAAAAAATGACAACAGCCAATACAACAATAGTCATGCAGTGTGAATGAATCAAATTATAACTATTTTTTTTGTTAGGCAAAAAAAAAAATGTTTTTGTTATGCCACAGAATTTTAGTGATTAGTTTATGTGTGCCATGAGATAAAAAAAAGATTGAAACTCACTACCCTAGAAAACCTCCAGTAGGCCTAGTCTGACCCCCTAGTGTTGGAGAATTCACTATTTCTAGAAGGCCCCTAAGTTCTCTTTGAACATTTATTGAAAATGCCTCATTCTTTGCAATGATGAAGTGTAATGATGATGACAACAGATAACGTATACTGGACATTTAGAATGTGCCAGGCACAGTATAAAGTGATTTCTATACATTGTCTCATTTAATCGTCATAATAAGTCAGTGCTAATTTCTCCCCATTTTACAGATGAGAAAACTGAGTCTCTGAGATATGCAAGTGACTAGTGGTTAGTGGAATCAGAGTTAGAATCCCATGCTAAGTCCAGCTCCTGTTCTTAATTAACCGCCTTGCTGTGTGAGTTTACATATCCTGAGTTGAGCTCTGTCTACCTATAGCTTCCACCCCTGCCCTAGCTTTGCGTCTCTAAATGTTTCCTCCCTTATTGATAGTGATTCACAAGGTGTTCTGATAAAGAGGTTAGCACATACTAAGTGCTCACTACAAGGCAGCCATGGTGTTCATTGTTGCTTTTCCATTGATTACTATGGCCCCCCACCCCGAGAGCCACATGGCACCCTTCTGTTCCCTCTCCTTCACAAAAGCCTTTCCTGTATTTGCAGACAGTGAGTGTGCCCCTGCACCAGCCTGCATCTTCTCTCACGTGGAATCGTCTGCCTTCTTCCCTTCAGCTGTTCCTCGGATGACAGTTTCAAGTCCCTCCACCACGCTGCTGCTCTTACCTCTCTGATCGTGTTTCATTTGTCTGTATGCCTCCTAAGGTGAGTGACCCAAGTGGGTGGGGTCTGACTGGCACAGACTAGAGCCAGCTGACAACCCCTTCTACTGTTAGGCCATCCTCAGTGGTAAAAGTTATATGGGGGGGGGGGTTAATTATTTTGCAGTGGCCTCTGTGATACGGGCTCTGTCATCCTCTCCAATCTCATCTTTCTCCCCCCTCCACCTATGGCCCCACCAGACTGAATTGCCTCATAGCTCTTTGTGCCTTGTACTTACTCTGCTGACTCTGGGTCTTGGCGCATGCTGTTCCCTCTACCTGGAGCACACCTTCCACATGCCTCCCCCCCCGCACCCACCCAAAGCTCCTTTATTATTCACATGTCCATCAGCTGGGTGTCTCCTAGTGTTCACATCTCAGCTTAGACACCACTTCCTCCAGAAGCCTTCCCTGACCCCAAAGTCAGTCCCTTTGTGCCCCCACCACAGTCCCCTAAACTCTCCCTGTCCTCACTCTCACCCCTGTGTTATCAGTGTTTATCGTCTTGACTGTTCCTTCATTCCTAGACTAGTAGCTTCTTTCTGCCATGCCCCTGGTGTCTAGCACAGAGTCAGTGCTCAAACCGTCTTGACTGTTCCTTCATTCCTAGACTAGTAGCTTCCTAGGAACAGGACCATATCGTCTTTCTGCCATGCCCCTGGTGTCTAGCAGAGTCAGTGCTCAGAAATTACATGGTGAATGAGTGCCACTTCCCGTGCAGAGAGCGACCCTCCCCTTCATCACTCAGGCCTGGCACACACCCTCCTGGGTCATCACCGACCTTTTCCAGGGCCTCCTTCAACACGGGGACAGGGTGTGCCAGGGGCACAGGCTCGGGGTGCTGGGGACACATCCTCACAGGGACAGAGGGCGCTTCTGGTCCCAAGGAGCCTGCGGGAATATCACATGGTGAGAAGGAAGTAGCGATCAGGATAGGAGTCTAGAGGTCACCCTAGAAGAGATGGGAAGGTAGCAGCAGAGGCCAGAGCCATACGTTGGGGGCCAACCCCCCCCAGCTGGCAACAGCCTCACCAGGAGTATCAGGGTGCAGAGACCAGCCATGGGTATCAAGGAGCAAAGAGCAGAGTGTGCCTGGAGGAGAGGGGACAGTTCCACACGCTCCCCCTGCGGCTTGGCCTTCAAGATACCAATTAGGCCACAGTTCCCGGTGGCAGCCCTTCTCTCCTCGCGCCCGCCTTCCTCGCTCCGTGTGATCCGCAGACTTAGACAAATTACAGCTCCTCGGGGCAGGCTCAGCCCTGTGCTGTCAGTCTCTCTTTCCCCAGTTCTGATTATAGGTTTGGGTGGGGAAGTGGACTTGGGGCTCCACTTCGGCTTCAGGCCTAAACCACAGGGAGAACTCAGTCTCTCACCAGAGCCATGCATCCGGGCATGGGGGACTCATGTCTCGTTCTGCTTTGGTCTGGCTGTATGGCTTCCTTGGAACCTCGGAGAAGAGGGTGTGGGCCTTGGCAGGGCAGGACTCCGCCTGGGAGAGCATCCCAGCGGCCCCCAGACCTCCCCTCGTCCTCTGAAGACGGTGTGGAGCGGTGAGGGTACCAGCACCTTGAGGAGCTCCACCCTTTCCAAGTCCTTCCTGAGACTGCCCAGAACTGAGACTAGACTGGAGGCTCACTGTGGCCATACATTCTTTTAGCTCCTCCCAACTCTAGACTCTGGCTGGCTTTGTGACTTGCTTTGGCCAAAAGAATGAGGTAGAATTGATCATTGATCCTGGGCCTTCCCAAAATTAGGCCTTAATGTGCTTCCCTGGGAATACTGCCCCCTCCTGGACAAGCCTGGGATAGCGGTCTTGAGAGGGAGAATCCACATGGAGGGAGAGATCCAGCTCTCCCACTGCATTGGAGAGAGAGCTCAGATGAGACCAGCAGCAGAACTGCCAGCCAGCCCACAGACTAATAGAAAGAATGAATCACTTTGTACGAAGCCAACAAGTTTGGGGTTGGCGTTAGGATCCTCATTTTACACACAAAGGCATCAAGGCACGGAGAGGTCATATGACTGTCCCAAAGATGCAGTTAGAGGCCAGAGCTTCTGAGTCTAAATCTTATGATACCCTCGGGTCAGGAGTGGCAGCTCGGAGCCCACAAGGACCCACGGGGGCGGGAGAAACTCGAGGATGTCTCTGCACTCACCGGTCTTCAGCTTGGGGAGGTAGTACTGCCACAGGAAGCAGCCGGTCATGAGCACTGAGAGCAGAAAGAAGAAGCTGCAGGAAGCTGGGAAGAGCCACTTCTTTTTTACTTTCAGCTGGCCGAGCCGCCAGCCAGCCTGGAATGGGGAAGACACAGGGCACAACTCCCATGGGAGTCAGCCAGAGGGAAGAAAGAGAGGGACCCCTACCCTGGCCCCTTCTATACCTTAAGGTCATCCAAACATAATGGAAGTCCACAGGGAAGTTCCAGTATAAATATACATTTCACACCTAGGAAACCAAGGTCTTTCCCAGTATGACCTGTTCAACAGCTCCACCATGCATGTACCTCTGCACCTCTGCGTCTTTGCACAGCCTGTTCCTTCTGCTGGGCCTGCTGTATATTTAGTGATATATCTCCTCCATGAAACCTCTGCAACTCCCTTCACCCAGGTCCCCTCCAAGGCACTTGGAACAAGCCTGTTATGGTGCAAGTCCAAGTCTCTCTCTAGTACTGTAGTTGTTCGACTACTACTAGCCGATTTACCTAATGGAGGTGGAATTCTCCAAAGATTTAATCTCCTCCCCTTCCCCCTAATGAAACACCCATTCTGATCTTGGTGTTTGTCATCATGCGTGCGTTTATTCTTTGTGTTTATGCGTCCATCAAGAGCATGTAGTATTGTTTCGCACATTTTTAAACTTACACGAATATTATCCTACTGTATTATCCTCCTGCAACTTGATTTTTTCCACTTTGATACATATAGCTCTGGGTTATTCATTTCAACTTCTGTAGAGTATGCTGCTGTGAATATACTTCATAGTGGAATAGAGCATGGAGATGGGCCAGGCTTCCTTTTTCTTTTTTTTTCTTTTTTAATTTTTTTATTGCTTAAAGTATTACAAAGGGTATTACATATGTGTCCTTTTTTTCCCCGCCAGGCTTCCTTAAAAGCGTGACAATGTTATACATTCGAGGTGGGAGCACTATGCGTACGAGTGAAATTTCTGGGTGGTGACGTATGGCCATCTTCAGCTTAACCATACTCTCCCCTGCACTCTCCAGCGTTGTTCCAGTTTACACCCCGCCACCAGTGATTCTCATTGCTACCTTTAATTTGCATTTTCTCTATTACTAATAAGGTTGAAGGCCTTTTCATGTAGGATTTGGTTTTATGTGAATGGATTGTTTTTATCCTTTGCCTATTCTTTTTTCTATTCAGTTTTCTTCACTTAGAGCTCTTTGTAAGTTCTAGATACTTATGCTTATAGCATGTCTTTTCACGTTATGTTTATGGTAACTTTTGTTGAGAGGCAGGATAGTGTAGTGGTGAATCTGTGGCCAGATGGCCTGATTTTGAATCTCAGTTTAACCACTTCCTGGCTGTGTGACCTTAAGGAAGTCACTCAACCTCTCTGTGCTTCTGATTCCTTACCTGTAAAATAGAGATGATAATAGCCCTTGCCTCATAGATTTGTAAGAATTAAATGAGTTAATATATATAAAGTACATCTTGTCTGATACATTGTAAGACCTTTTAACTGTTATTCTTGAAGAGAGGGCTTTTGCAGTGGTTTTGGTTGTTGCCAATCAAATGTATCAACACTATCTTTTTTGTTTACTGTGTGTGTGTGTGTGTGTGTGTGTGTGTGTGTGTTTGCATGTTTGCTTAAGAAATCCTTTTCACAAAAGTCTTAAATATAGATTTCTGTACTTTCACACAAAAACATGTTTGGTTGTCGTGTGAGGAAAGGATTTCATTTTATTTATTTTTCATGTGAATAATCAGTCATCTCAGCACCAACCTGTCCCCCACTGGCTTGTATACGGTCTCTGAAACATACAAGCGTCTGCACACACTGGCCCCTGTTTTCTAGGCTGTTTCATTTGGAGTCTCACTGAGTTTCTAGTCCATCCCTCCCTGCCAATCCTCCCCTCGCTCCCATAACAAGGCTTGTTCCCTTACTGTGTGCCAGGGGCTGCCCTACAGGAAACAGTCTGACCAGAGAGGTTTTCTCTGATCTGACCCTGGTCAGCTCCGTGGACCATTCCCGCCTCTCCTCCCCTGTGCACCTTTATGCTCCCACAGCGTGCATTGCTCCCCTCCCTCCGTGCCTTTGCACCGGCCCTTCCCTCTGGCTGCCCTTTTCCACTGGACAAACGTGGGAAAGCCCTCCGTGCCTGTGCAGCCTTCTCACTCTCCCCCAGGGTCCTCTCCTCTCTGTGCACACTTGTCACTGCTTTGCAACAGGGACCTGCACGGGTTACTCCTGCTTCCTTGTCTGGCCCCGACCAGGTGGCTAGTGTCTCCAGCACCAAGATCATTCCTTCAGGGCTTTTATGCCTACAACACCCGGCACTCCGCCTGGCACTGGCAGGTTCTCAGGGAATGTGTTTGGAACTTTACATCGTCCTGCAAGTTGAAAGGCTTAGTTCAAGTCTTAGCCCCACTCCCTGAGTCAGTTGTAATTCTGGACACATCCCTTCCCCTCTTGGGGCCTGCATTTCTTCAACTGCGGGAGAGGGCTGGGCTATTTGTAAAGAGGATACTTGTCATCTAGAAATCTCATTTGATTTCAGAAGTATCTCCCAGCTCTAGAATGTGGTGTGCATACTGAAGCCATTCTTTATTCATAATCTCCAAAGATTGGAAACAACCTAAATGTCTTTCAACTGGTGAATGAATAGACAAAACTGTGGTACATCCATGCAGTGGGATGCTACTCAGCTAAGTGCAGGAACGCACTGCTGATGAACGCAATGATGTGGATGAAGCCCAGATGCAATGTGCGAAGTAGAATAAGCCAGACTCAAAAGGCTACAGATGAGATCACCCCACTTTCACAACATCCTGAGAAGGCAAAACTATGGGGACAGAAGACAGCTCAGTGGCTGCCTGGGGTAGGGATGGGGACCACAAAGGGCAGAAAGGCATTTGGGAAGTGATGGAGCTCATTCTATATCTTGATATAGTGATGGTTATAGGACTGTATGTATTTGTCAAAATTCAGAGAGCTGCACAACAAAAAAAAAAAGTGGATTTTAGTGCATGTAAACTATACCTCAGTGTTTTTTAAAATAAAGCCCTTAAAGATCCCAGGTAGGATGTCTCTAACTGGGTGTCGCAGGTTTCTGTGGGAGGGAAGTTTGAAAGTGCTCCCCTTTGAGCATGAGCCAAGGGCCA